GAACATGGCGTCCCACTGAGACGCGAACATGGCGTCCCACTGAGACGTGTGGGAGAGATAAAGGGGGAGCAGGGGGAGAACATGGCGTCCCACTGAGACGTGTGGGAGAGATAAAATGGGGAGCAGGGGGAACATGGCGTCCCTTTGGGGGATACCTGGGACGTGTGGGACAGACAAAGGGCGGAGCGGGGGGGACATGGCGTCCCTTTTGGGGACACCTGGGACGTGTGGGACAGACAAAGGAGGATGCAATGAAAACAAACTAATTTCTTGAAGGAATCATAAGTATGAATATTCATAAAAGACTTAAGACAGAAGCCATGGTAATTTCTTCCACAAGTTTTCATTTGAAGGAGATAAACCCGAAGACCTGTAATACCTGACGCTGTATATGTGCAACAGCTACAGGTAAGGGATGGATGCCAGGATTTAAATTTTGGATATGAATAACATACTGATGTTAGAAATGAGTGTTGGGAGATCATGATGTACCCTTGTCACAGTGAGTGTTATATCAGAGTTAGGTCACAGGAACACAAATGCTTTTAATTTATAACGAATTACACAAACATAGTATTTGAGTTATGCTCAGTGCCTACACTGTCAAACTCAAAATGTGGTTTGGGTTTGGACAGTCTGGTACAATGCTGACATTTCAAACCCTGCAGCATACGAGTAGTGCATCACAGTCTGTTCAGATAACTTCAGTGCTCTGAAATTTCTTATGCTTTAAGTTTGAAGCATGGAATTGCTCTTCACTGCTTTGTGCCACCTGTAAAGTCACAGTTTTAGGAGACTGAGGTAAAGTGGGTAGCTTTTTAGTATATCCAGTGAATTATTAACCATTTTGTAAAAGGAATACCATTCTATATAGCAGGATGAACAACGAAACCCTGGGTATTAACCTCAAATATACTGGTTTTATAGACTTGCTGGTGCCTAATTTTACTCTAGCATAGAAAAAAAAACCCAGTTGCTTCATCTAGTCTACATTTCTGTGAAGTGTCACTTTATACTGATCTTTTTTTTTTCTCATTTTTTTCAGGATATTTGACTTAAATCCTGAACAACCAAATATATTCCAGGAGGAGCAGCTGGAACATTTCAAGAAAGAATTTCCAGAGTGGAAAAGCCATGTGTTCCACAATCAGCCGTTTAAATCCATATCTCCACGTAAATGTCATGTAGTTGCCTGGAAGAGAAATCTATAGATAACTTGAAGTGTGTTCAAATGCAGAAGGATTAACTGGATGTGGAATGCTGGTTTGTATCTGTTTAACTTTCACTATTGGAACAGTTCTGTCTGTGCCTTCTGGTTGGTTCATTTTATTTTTAAGTCCCCAAATAGCAATAACTGTGTTCCTGAGAGTAGTTATTAAAATTTCAAGCAGTGTTAAAATATTCAGCCATTTATAATTATTGTTCAGTATACATGTCCATAACTTCTTCCTATAATCAAGTCTCAAATCTTGAAAAAGGAAATTAATGCTTGTGTTTTTAAAAAGTAAAAATAAATTAAACAGTCTTGGAAGTGGAAGCTCAGAAACTAAATTGTAGGGAAGTTACAATGATCTGATACTGAATATGCTGAAAAATTGGTTTGAATTTGATTTTACTTACAGGCTGACAAGCTGTACCAGTTATCTGACAACAGGAAATTAAGAGAGTGATCGCAAGATACATATAAATAGATCTGACCTGAATGATCTGACCTCATGTATTTGTGTTTGCACTGACACTTCCATCTGTACAAAGCATTGTGCCACTTTAAAAGTAAACTGCAATGCATATTGACTCATTTTTCCCAACACTTCATTGGCCATGTAGGCCGCTGCCATTGTTCTCTCATTTGTCAGTGCAGAGGTTCAAGGCCTGTGTAACAGCATCAAGGGTGAGCTACAAGGACAATTTTTTTCATTAATCTCACACCTTAGGCCTGCTAAACTTTAGGGGTGTTGCTAATAATTTTAACAGTATTACAGAAACATCCTCAGTGGTTGGAAATCCTTTTTTCACAGTAACCTTAATAAACAGAATATGTATCATGCCCAAACTCTACAAAATGCATGCTTTAGCTCTTAAGCATGAAATGTAGGTGTTTGCCAAAGTCTTTGCACCTTTACAGAGCTGTTTATGTATGAAGAGTGCAAGGACCAACTCATAATCATCTTCCTTGCCTAAAACCATAAGCCTGTTGTCCACAAACATTTGAAGAAAAGGCTGAACCATACATGGTTTTGTCTTAGTTATGTAATGCAAGCCCATAGCTTTTCTATTTTCATTGGAGCAAGAATCACAAGTGTACTGAAGTCAAATAATTGGTATTCTGTGGGCTGGTATATCTGTCCTCTGTAATTTATTACAGAGTCAAGTTTGGAGGTCTGAACAGGTCAATTTGCCTCTCCTTTTTCTTCTGAAGTTGCAGGTCATGCCAACACAACAGCTGGAACTTCCTATTGAAGTGTTCATGTAGAATAACAATGGAAAATATTTTTTCTCTTGTAAACTGACAGTGAAAACAATTGTGTATACTCTGTAGTATGTGTATATATTATTTATATACAGTCATCGCTACACAGAACTGATTGTAGAGAGAGTAAAGCCATCACAAGTGCTTGAGCCTGCCCTGCTGAGCAGTTAAGAGACAAACAGCTTGCACATTTCGGCATTGAAAATTCGTTTGTCCTGCACAAACAGCATTGTAACGATTGGGTATCTGGAAGCTGTCTAAAATAAAATAAAATTAAATTAAATTAAATGTTAAAAAAAAAAAAAGGGGGAAAAAAAAGACCAGGCACTTTTAAATCCCGTTCTCCGCGGCTGCCGCTGCCGGAGCACCGCCCCCGGGGAGGGGGCGGGCCGAGCCCGGGATCCCGCCCCCGGGGAGGCCCCGCCGGGCAGAGCAGGGTGCGGGATCCCGCTCCCGGGGAGGCCCCGCCGGGCAGGGCAGAGGAGGGCAGGGTGCGGGATCCCGCCCCCGGGGAGGACTCGCGGGGCAGGGCAGAGCAGGGTGCGGGATCCCGCCCCCGGGGAGGACTCGCGGGGCAGGGCAGGGCAGGGTGCGGGATCCCGCCCCCGGGGAGGACCCGCCGGGCAGGGCAGAGCAGGGCAGGGTGCGGGATCCCGCCCCCAGGGAGGACCCGCCGGGCAGGGCAGAGGAGGGTGCGGGATCCTGCCCCCGGGGAGGACTCGCGGGGCAGGGCAGGGCAGGGCAGGGTGCGGGATCCCGCCCCCGGGGAGGCCCCGCCGGGCAGGGCAGGGCAGGGCAGGGCAGGGTGCGGGATCCCGCCCCCGGGGAGGCCCCGCCGGGCAGGGCTGGGCGCGCCGAGATGTCGCCGTGTGGGCAGGGGCGGTACTTCTGCACGGCGGGCCGCGGACTCGAGCCCTTCCTCGCGCGGGAGGTGCGGGCGCGGCTCGGCGCCACGGAGGTGAGCGGGGAGCTGGAACTGGAGCCCGAGCCCAGCCGGGCGGGGCGGGCAGCGCGGCCGCGTGCGTTCCACGCCCTGGAGCCACCTGCGGGCCCCGCGGGCCCGGTCGCGGTCGGAAGGGCCTCTGCACCGCGGGCGGGGGGAGCCGCTCGGGGCCGCGTCTCCCCGCCATCCCCGGGGCTGCGCGAGGGGCTCACCCTCAGCTTCCCGGCGGCTCCGGGAGGTGCTCTCCTCGCAGGTGGACTGCGTCTCGGGAAAGGTGTTTTTCAGCGCGGCGGCGGGGCCGGGCGAGCTGAGGAAGCTGCGGTCGGGGGAGCGGCTGTTCCTGCTGCTGAAGAAGCACAGCCCGCTGGCAGTGTCTGGGAACAAAGGTACGGCCCGGCGCGGGTGGCGCGGGAACGGGAAGCGAAGCGAAGCCCCAGTTCGAGTCCTAGTAATAAAACTTATATTTGAGGTATTTATCTTTATACTGATGGCTGTAGTTCTAATTGACAGTAATCGATTCTGAAGTGTCTTCCACTCAGGTATGTTTTCAATATCTTCTTTTAACCTGAAAAGGGCTTTTCAATTGTTTTCAATAGATACGTTCCAGCCTACATTCTGCTGGCAGTGAATGTGTATATGTAAGAACGGCCGCCACCCCACCCACTCCCATGAGAGAAACACCTCAACCAGAAACCAAAGTCCGGTTCTGGATCCCTTGTGTTCATTTTAACAATAACTCATTTTCTGTTAGACAAAGTGGATCCAGGCCTATATCCTGTGTCACTTGTTCAATACACAGATTCCTTGTAAATCTCAGCTACTTGGGTCATATTCTCTGTCAGTCTTGGAATAAGAATGTCAAGTTAGATGGATTGATATCTGCCTGCTGGTGGGTTTTTATTTGGGAGATCACTGATATCCTTCAGCTTTGAGGATCAAATTTGGCCATGGTTCTAAAATTTGGAGTGAGAACTAGGAAGACCTTTTTTTTTTTTATTCCTCATGACCTGGTTTGAGGTATTTAGGTGAATTGGCTTCTGTATTGCTTGTGTCTCTCTTGTAGCTAGCTCAGGAGGACTGCCTGCACGTGTAAGTGTAAGTGTGTGTTGCAGGATTGAAGGCAGGTTGATGAATGTGAGGAGGGATTTCCTTTCTGAAAGAATAAACATGTGGCTTCTTGCTTGAGCTGAATCAAAGTAATTCATGTTTATATTTGTCTTTCAATCTTGGAAAGTGTCATACATGTCTTAATCCTAGACCAAGTGCTCTCTGGGGAGGATGGTGTGGTAGGCTGGTCCTCTGTTCCTGGGAATGACTCTCAGAGGTTGTGTGGTTTTCTAGAGCTGTTGAGTTTTTGTGCAGAATTCATCCCTTGTATGATTTAATCTTGGTTGTGCAGAGCTTGTAATAGGAGGGATGCCTGTGTGTCTGCTAGTGGGCACGTGAGTGCTGAGAGCTCAGCTGTGCCTGTGGTGTTTGCTGCTGGTTCCTGGATTCACACATTAAGGAAGTCTGAACACAGTCTCTGTTAAC